CCACCTGTTAGTAATAAATTCACTGATTGGCTTTTATTGGAGTTTCCTATCTAGGGGATATGAGTCTATCCTATAATTTTAATCGTAATAAAAGGGATGGAAAAGCCAGAGCGAGTAGTAGTTCACCCCCTGGAGTTGGGCTACCGCCTGGCCCCCATTTCCCAAATTAAATCTTTTCAAAGTCCCTTTTTCATTTGTGTGCGACCTTCTCCAGAACCCAAACCCTGAACCGGAACTCTGAATCATGTGGGACGTAAAAGGGGCTTCCACATGGCTTCACAGGTGAATTTTACAAATATTCAAACTGTAGGGAGCAGCTCTAGAGTTAAGCCTTCCAGCTTAGAGGGCACAGCCCTCTTAGCATAATTAAGCTTGACCTTATGGCCGCCCCCTCGTTCTTTCCTGGGTAGCTAATGGGCTGTGGGAGGTGCAGCAAGTGCTGCCCAAACAAGTGAAACTCACAAGAACATTGTAACTATGGTGATCGCTATCTTGTTTACCCTGACTGGAAAATAAAGCCTCAGCTTGCTGGCTAGATCCTTCTCTGTGGCCTCATCAAGGCACAGGAGATCCACCGAGCCCCAGCTATATTCTCTTTGTCTGTTTTTTTTTTAATCTTTAGCCGACCTCAACTCAGGCTCACCGAACCCTTGGCTGCACTGGCATGGCACACAAACTATTCCAAAAACTTCAAGAGGAGGGAAGACTCCCAAGTTCATTCTAGGAGTCCAGCATATCCTAATTCCAAAACTAGATAAAGACACTAAAAACAAAGAATATTATAGGCCAATGTCCCTGATGAAGATAGATGTAAAAATCCTCAACAAAATATTAGCAAACTGGATCCAGCAATACACTGGGGGAAAAAATCATACACCATGATCAAGTGGGATTTATTCTGGGGATGCAAGTTTGGTACAATATTCACAAATCAAGAAATGTGATAAGCAAAATGAAGGATAAAATCACATGCAAAAAAAGAATTTGATAAAATCCAACATCCATTTATAATTTAAAAAAAAAAAAAAAACCTCCCAGCAAAGTGGAAATAGAATGGTCATACTTCACATAATAATGGCCATATATGACCGAGACCAGTTTGGCTCAGTGGATAGAGGATTGGCCTGTGGACTGAAAGGTCCCAGGTTCGATTCCGGTCAAGGGCATGTACCTTAGTTGCCGGTACATCCCCAGTAGGGGTGTGCAGGAAGCAGCTGATCGATGTCTCTCTCTTATTGATGTTTCTAACTCTCTATCTCTCTCTCTTCCTCTCCGTAAAAAATCAATAAAATATATCTTTTAAAAAAATAATAATAATGGCCATATATAATAAACCTACAGTCAATAGCACACTCAATGGGAAAAAGTTAAAAGCATTTCCCTTAAAATCAGAAACAAAACAAGGATGTCTGTTTTTCCACTCTTATTCAACATATAATAGTACTAGAAGTCCCAACTACAGCAATTAGACAAGAAGAAAAATTTTAAAGGCATCCAAATTGGAAAGGATTAAATAAAACTGTTATTATTTACAGATGTCATGATATTGTACATAGAAAACCCTAAAGACTCTACCAAAAAAACTACTAGATCTAATAAATGAATTAAGTAAAATAGCAGGATACAAAATTGGTATTCAGAAATAAGTGGTATTGTTATACACTAATAATGAACTATGACAAAGAAATTTAAAACACAATCCCATTTGCTATTGCAACAAAAAAATATATATATGTAAGGTACCTAGGAATAAATTAAAACAAGGAGGTAAAAGAAAATTATTGGAAATTGAGGAAAATATAAACAAATGAAAGTATATACCGTGTTCATGAATTGGAATAATTAACATCATTAAAATGCCCATATTCCCAATCCCAACACAATTCCTTTTAAAATACCAAGGGCATATTTCACAAATCTAGAACAAATATTCCAAAAATTCATATGGAACCAAAAAAGATCCTGAATAACCTCACCAACCTTGAGAAAGAAAAACTAAGTTGGAGGAATCATGATCATCAGAAACATTCAAACTATACTACAAGGCCACTATAATCAAAACAGCTTGGTTCTGGCATAAGAACAGGCATATAGGTCAATGCAATAGTACAGAGAACCCAGAAATAAACCCACGCCTTTATGAGCAAGTAATATTTGACAAAGGAGGCAAGAGCATACAATGGCATAAAGGCAGTCTCCTCCAAAGAAAATGAAGCAGAAAGAGCCAGAGCTGCACCTGCTCATACTCTGCCTGGACAACGCTGGCAAAACAATTGTCCTCAAGAAGTTCAATGGAGAAGGCATCAACACCATCTCCCCAACCCTGGGGCTTCAACATCAAGACCCTGGAGCACCGGGGAATCATGCTGAACATCTAGGTTGTTGGCAATTAGAAGTCCCTGCAGTCCTACAGGCAGAACTATTTGAGAGCATTGACTGCCTCATCTGGGTGGTGGACAGCGCTGACTGACCACCAGCGCATGCAGGGCTGCCAGCGGGAGCTCCAGAGCCTGTTGGTGCAGGAGCGCCTGGCTGGAGCCACCCTCCTCATCTTTGCCAACAAGCAGGACCTGCCTGGGGCACTATCTTCTAACGCCATTTGCGAGGCCCTGGAGCTGGACTCCATCCGAAGCCACCACTGGTGCAGCCAGGGCTGCAGCGCTGCTGTCACAGGAGATAACTAGATGACATTTCCAGCCGCATCTTCACAGCCGACTGAGCTGCTCCAGATGCCCCCACCTTGCAGTCCGGGCCCCTCTCCCCCTACCGCAAACCCTCACCAAGCACCTCCCAGGGTAGGGTGGGAATAAGCCAGCCCAACTAACACTCCAGGCCCCCTGTATAACCTGCTGCTGCTGTCCACTGCTGCTCCCCAGCCAGCCCAGATCCCATGGCGGGTGGGCTACTGCCTTGGCTGTCACTCTGGCTCATGACCTGGCCCATATGCAGCTGCCATTCCAAGAAGCAAGGGCTGAGGCTGGGAGGGGGCTGCCTCTGCTGCTGAGACTGTGACCTCGTCCTTGCTCAGCTGTCAGAATAAACTGTTCCTTGTCCTTGTTCCGAAAAAATAAAAATAAAAATAAAGCAGTCTCCTCAATAAATGGTGTTGGAAATATGGACAGGTATAACAAAACATGAAATGGTTACTATAAGCTATGTCCTCTTCTAAGTGCTTTACACACTTAACCTTCCCAACAGCCCTAAAAGGTACATACTCTTATTATCCAAAGGACCTGTCAAGGTTTTGTACACTAGATCCTGAATTCTTCTAATTTCCTCCAATATTTAGGTGGAATTCTCCAGATGAACATCCAATTTGCTCCTACTCTTTTGACCTGGAATTACTAAGAAACTAAAACTGCCCTTTTTCTAAAGCCATGCAAGCTAAAACTGGACAGCTGAGTATTAACTTTAGAGAGATCACTATAACAGCTGATATGTGGACAATCTTTGTGTCTATTGGTATGTGGGCCATGCAGATCATCAGAAACATTCAAACTGCAAACTAAGGAAGTCTATCAGATTGCACTGCTTGCCCTCACTCCATCTAAAGAAGGTTCAAACCCGACATCTAGAATCATCTCAACTGGCTGTACTCCAAACTCAGAAACCGAATTTATAATTTACTCAAACTATTAACCTTTGTTTTACTTTTGTTTCCACAGGAATTTTTTCCCCATTAGATTACCTGGTTCTCACAACCTATAGAGGCCTAATTTAGACGGAAGCTCACCTGCAGTCCATTTCCTGAAATAAAATATTCTTATGTTCATCCCGTCATAAGTTATCAGGAGGACATATATTTGCTAAAATAGCATGTTGTGCCTATGTAAACAACTTTTAAAAAATTGAAACCCACTTGATTTATTTGGTTGGTTAAATCCTTGGCTATTAGTCTCCCCATGTTCATCACATTCACTTTTCTAATATGTTACATACTCTCAAAGATTTTAAATGTCTGTCAGCAGCCACACACATGCCAAATGGTGTCTATCAGAATCAAACAATTGAATGAAATCAACAATAAACACATAAATGATGAAGGTGGTGGCTTCGTGGCTCCCTGGCCTGACTACTCAACCAATGGGAACATCAGATATATGATTTTTCAACCTGATCAGGTCAGCGGTGGTAACCAAGAGTAATGCTGCAATGCTTGGTCATACTCTTGGCTTGCTGAGAGAATGCCCAAAGGGGGGGAATGGTTAAATCAAAACCAAACAGAAACCAGCCTTGATTTTCCCTGAGCAGATAAAACCAGTTTAGTCATCCAAACAAGCTCAATTTATCTTATGTTGTAAGACTAACTTGACATGAGTCATTTCTTGCTCATACCTCTGAAAAATCATAAGCAAAACCTGAACTATGTGCCACAGTTGATATGAGGAAACCACTGAAAATTCTAATATTGCAATCAATTACTGTGAAGAATAGCCACTGCTTTTCTCACTACATAAGCTGCTTTCTAACAATATAACCATGGTCCTCATTTCATGTTTTGGTTTAAATGCCCCCTGTTTTGCAAACTGTCTTTTTGGTGTGTGCACAATAAAGTTATTTACTCGTTACTACTTCAGTGATTGCTTTTACTTCTGCCATTTGTGAACTTTGACAAGCTTTTATTTTGCTTTCTCCCCACCACTTCTTTAATTTGATTTAGTATCCTATAGCAAGGGATTTATCAGTTCTCTCAAAGTAGATCAAGCACAGACTCAACCTGTCACACGCCTGGAGCCCTGCCTGACCTTCACTCCGCATTCAGCCTGCAAGAGGGCTGAAAACCACAACTCCCAAAAGGCTTTGCGTGCCTGGGGGGCGGGCGGGGCGATCCCGTCAATTGGTTGGCCCCAAAGCCCTGTGCCAACGATGATTGGCCAGGCCTGAGAAGGAGGTGGGGCTAAGGCCATGCGGGAATCGGAGCAATGCCGGGCGAAGACCGCGGGCTGAACGTTTGGGTCCAAACTCCAGCCGCAGACTAGCAGCTGGAACTTGAGGGGAGGATGGCTCGGCCGTACGTTTGCGCGCTGACCCTGGCGGCTACGCTGCTGCTAGGGATCGCCACCGTCCCCAGGTCCAAGGGCCTGAGGGACGCCGAGCATCGGAGGGCGTCGCGAATTCCTTCTCAGTTCAGCCAAGAGGAAAGCGTCACGATGAAGGAATCGCTGAAAGGTGAGCCTGGGTCGCCTCCGCCCGTCCCTCTCCCCCAGGCCCAGCTCAGTACCCCGCTCTCCTGTCACATCAGAGTGTCCTGCACATCACAGCCCTGCCTCGCCCCCATCCCGACCCGTCATGGTCCTGCCGGGGCTTAGGGACGCCGCCTCTCCCACAGGCCTGACTTCTGGGGTCTCCGTGTTTCCTGCCTCGTCTGGAAGTTCCCAACTTCGCTTCTGTTGGCAGGGCAGCCACTCACCCTACCCCTGCTGGCCTTTTTATTTGTAATTTTAACCTTTAGAAGTTGTGTGGTTTAAAAAAAAAAAAAAAAAAAAAAAACCTTTTTATTGTGTATAGTATCAGATATCTTCACTTTTCCCCTCTTTTACCTCCATCGTCCCAGCCCCTACCCACCCTACCCCACCCCCATGTCTTCTCTGCCCTATTCCCCGGGTCCAGGGGTTATGCCTGTACTAGTAAGAATATAAGTTCTTTGATTTATCTCTCTCATCCCCCCAACTCCACATCGAGGTGTCGCAGTCTGTTCCATACCTCCCTGCTTCAGGTTTTATTTTGTTGGTCAATTCATTCTGCTCATTCAGATTCCACAAATAAGTGAGATCATGTCTTGATCGGATTGGCTTATTTCGCTTAGCATAATATTTTCCAGGTCCATCCATGCTGTCCCAAAGGGTAAGAGATCCCTCTTTTTCTTTTTTTTTTTTTTTTTTTACAGCTGCACAGTATTCCGTTAAACCTCTGTATAATTTTAAGGTGAAATGATCTTAATCTTATCATCTATAGAGTTGGGAAATTGAAGGTTAGCTCACTTAAATGATCTTCCCCAGAACCCCAGCAAGGAGTGGGCACTGGGTGACAACACCTAGCACCTATAGGACCCACTGGACACCAGATGGCTCCAGGAAGGGATGTGGAGGGTGTTCCTGGAGTGTGGCATGTTCCTAATTTCTTCTGCTAATTGGAGGTCATCTTTCCCCTAGACCTCAAACCAAGTTCATCTACCTTTTGAATCTGCATTTTTCCAGGAGAAAAACAAAAATTTCTGTTGAGTGCTAGATCCTGTGGGATAATGAGGTCCTTCTTCCCCACTGTGCTTGGGCCCTCTCCCCCTTCATTAATTAATGGATTAAAAGGAACTACCTATGCAAACATGTGCAGGCAGGGGGCAAAGGCAAAGCCCTGTAATTGAATACAAAATGTGGGGGACGCTGCAGTGATAGGCCTGAGGGCAAAGCCGTGCTCTTTGAAAGCGTAGGATAAATAGTCTTCGGAAAGGCATGGGGCCACTCTCACCAGAATCTCTGTATAGAAGAAATGGTAAGAACCTAAAGTGGGTTCTAAACCTTAGATCAGCACAACTGAGAACTGAACAGGGGGCAGACACAGTACCTGAGTTCACATCTTGGTCTGCCTCTCATGTAGGCAGTTTATTTAATCCTTTTGAAACGCGGCTTCCCCATCTATGTGGTGGGCGAGGATGTAGGGCTGATCCTTAGGGGAAAAAAATGAGTACAGACATAAGTTTGTCTTTCAGAGGCCCTTCCTGGACTTCAAGCTTCTCCAGGTGCGTTTTCCCCAGTGTGTTTTGGGGTAGCTGCCTAATCAAATATTATCATAAGTCCTATTTCTCCTCCCAGTGGTGTTTGAATTTTGATAATGGAACTTTTTTAATTTTTTTAATTTAAATTCTTTATTGTTTAAAGTATTGCATACATCTCCTTTTTTGTCCCATTGACCTCTCCCCAGCCGCTCCCACCCCCCAGCACATGCCCTCACCCCCCTACTGTTTGTGTCCATTGGTTATACTCATATACGTGCATACAAGTCTTTTGGTTGATCTCTTACCGCCCCCTTCTCTCCTCCCCCACCTCCCCTGCCTTCCCTCTTAGGCTGGATGGACGATCTGTTAGATGCTTTTCTGGCTCTGGCTCTATTTTTGTTCATCAGTTTATGTTGTCCATTATATTCCACAAATGAGTGAGGTCATGTAATATTTATCTTTCTCTGACTGGCTTATTTCGCTTAGCACAAGGCTCTCCAGGTCCATCCATGCTGTTGCAACTTTTTTTTTTTTTTTAATTTTAATAATGGAACTTTCTAAGAGTGCAAACACTTCCTGGCTCAAAGGGATGAGCCTATTGGCAAGTCAGGAACTGAGATATCTGGGGAGGGCAGATGAGATTCTTTAGGACTGAAGAGTTTATTTAGGAGCTTCTAAATCTAACCCCTTCTCAGGTTTGGTGAGCAATAAATAAATAAATAAATAAATAAATGCAAAACTGCCTCCTGAGAGACCAGAGCGCCTCTGGATAAGCCAGCCTATGAGTAATAAGCCTGCTCTCTGCACACAAAGCCTCATTCATGGAGGGACTCAGGACTGTGGGCTCCTGATTCATCACAGGGATGATGGTTTCAGAGGCAGCGTGAAGCCTTGGGGAGCAATTTATAGCAGCAGCTTCCCAATCAGTGCCAGGGTCCAAAATCTACTCTCCTCCCCCTCCCCAGTCTTGCGTTTTATTTTCCTTTGGGAACCATAGTAACCTAAACAAACCTGTGCTTAAATCCCGGCCCTACTGCTCCTTTCAGGACAATATGAGCAGCTCTGACCTCCCTACCCCCCCCCCCTGCATAAGATAATGAATGTAAAAGCTATTTTTATGCACAGAAGGTTGTGGGGAAACCAAAGGCTGTGATCCTCTGTAATCGCCCACATCTGACTTTCCGACTCTGGCAGGTGCCATCCAGATCCCCACGGTATCTTTCAACCCCGGAGAGTTCAACACGACAGCCCTGGCTGAGTTTGGAGAATACATGCACAGAGGTCAGCCACGCAGCGTGGGGAGAGGGTGGGGGAGTTCGGGCTGGGGACACAATGCTATAACAAGGTGATCAGTGTCAGTCAGTAAAACAGAGGGTGGGGCTAGGAATTTCTTCTTTCGGTGCAAGTTTCCAGAACTGTGCCCCATGCTTCACACACACACACACACACACACACACATATTCACATATACACACACAAATGCACTCCACCTATACAGGCCCTACTTCATTTCTAACACATTTCTGAGTTTCTAGGCAGTAAGAAACCTTCAGCTATCATATTGGTCCTCTCTCCTCACCCATGAGAATAGGTCAAGGGGGAGAAGGAGATTTGGAACTCCCTGCTCCCCATATGAAAAGCTCCTGGAGAGAAGTAAGGCCATCTCCCTAAATCAAATAAAAAGCAGCTCCTCCAGAGTTGTCAGGGATGGGAGAAGCTGGCCTGGAGGCAGCAAGTAGATCCCTCTCACCTGGGCCAGGTGGCTCTGGGACCAGTGCCCAGCGGCCAGGCTGAGGCCAGGCCGGACGTCTGCCGTAAATAGGAGACAAAAATATGGAACTAAATGTACAGTGACAGTCAGCTAGACAAGCTGGCTGACCAAACAAAAGCATAGTCTACTTCGGGCTTCTGCCTCCAGGTATCCCTGTTGGTATTTGTGGAGTCTTCCAGCAAAGCCCGGAGGGAGAGCAAAGCTTTTCCTCCCTGTGTCTCAGGCCAACTGTGTTAAGACTTATCTGTGACCTGAATAATAATGGGAACATTCACACCTGGGTGCGGAAGTGTGGCCTTGTGCTGGACAGAACAATCTTTTATGTCCATGTAACACAAACAGTAGGAGTACTGTTTTGTGGGGGGGTTTGGTTGTTTATATATATATATGTGGGTGTGTGTGTGTGTGTGTGTGTGTGTGTTATTGATTTTTCACAGAGAGGGATAGAGAGATAGAAACATCAATGAGAGAGAAACATCGATTAGCTGCCTCCCACACACCCCCGACTGGGGATGTGCCCACAACCAATGTACATGCCCCTGACCGGAATCAAACCTGGGACCCACCGAGCCAAACCGGTTCCGGCAGGAATACTGTTTTTTAAAAGAAAATATCTCCAATTTACAGGCAAGGGTCATGTGTGGTTCCAAGTAACTTGGATACTGGGGCCTCCTCTCTTCAAAATTTAACACATCCCTCGTTTGCAGAGCCCTATCCCATGTACTTCTGACAACATGTTATATAGGGCAGACCAACATCTTGAGCTATTGACTGTCATAATGGTGGAGTCTTGACATGCACCTCACTGTATAGAAATTGCCCATTGAAATATGGAAAAGACAAATTTCAGAGATTGTGCGGGCAACTCAGTAACCAGACTGGCTTTGTCCCAGAAGGCTTCCTAAAGAAGTCTACTTTTTTTTTAAATATATATTTTTTAAATATATATTTAAATATATTTTTTACAGAGAGGAAGGGAGAGGGATAGAGAGCTAGAAACATTGATGAGAGAAAAACATCGATCAGATGCCTCCTGCACGCTCCTACTGGGGATGTGCCCACAACCAAGGTACATGCCCTTGACCGAAATCAAACCTGGGACCCATGAGTCTGAAGGCCGATGTTCCATTTACTGAGCCAAACTGGTTAGGGCTACTTTTTTTTTTTTTTTTTTTTTTTTTTTTTTTTTTAAGAGCAGGGCACCATGGTGGGAGACCAGAGGAAACTTAAATCTGACTTTCTCTCCCTGCTTTCCATCCCTTTGCTTCTAGTCTTTCCTACTGTGTTCAGAACCAGCTTTATCCGGCACGAAGTTGTGGGAGAATACAGCCACCTGTTCACTGTCCAAGGCTCAGACCCAAGCTTGCAGCCCTACATGCTGCTGGCTCACATCGACGTGGTGCCTGCCCCTGACCAGGGCTGGGAGGTGCCCCCGTTCTCTGGGTTAGAACGTGATGGCTTCATCTATGGCCGAGGCACACTAGACAACAAGAACTCTGTGATGGTCTGAAATGCTATATTCCCTCTGCCTTGGGGCCCTAAAGATCAACCCAGGGATTTGGGGGGTAGCGGGGGGGGGGAGGGGGGTAGAGAGAGGTGCTCGGCTGACCCCTAGGAGGCAGGAGGTCATGATGGTAGAAAGAACCTCAGCTCCATGAGACCTGGTTCCAGCCATCAGTTTGTCACTTCCCTTTTCTGGGCCTTGATTTCTCAATCAGAAAAAATAAATAGGGTTCAGAGTAGATGATCCCCAGAGACCTTTTCAGCTCTGACCTTGATAAATTTATACTTCTGTCCAGGTGGTAAAGGTTTTAAGCAGAGCTCTGCTTTCCTACATGCCATCCCCAGGACAATTTGAAATTTAAAGAGAATCTAGCCAATCCTAGTCACACCAGCGGTGGTGCAGGTAGCGGAATGTCTCATGCCCAGGTACTCCCACTAGATAATAACCCTTTCCCTCTTCTGTATGCTTCTGTCCCCCAGGCCATCCTGCAGGCCTTGGAGCTCCTGCTGATCAGAAATTACATCCCCCGAAGATCTTTCTTCATCGCTCTGGGCCATGATGAGGAGGTAGAGCCTCTTCATCCTATACCTATCTCTGGGACCCCTATGGGCGGGGTGGGGGTGTCTTCACCCAGACCAATTTGCTCCCCAGGTGAGGGTCTTCGGGATGTGGTGTATGGTTTGCCAACTTCTTGGTGTATCTGTGTGCCAGAACTATCTAAGGCCCTTGACCAAAAGGCAGATTCCTGGGCCCTGTGTCATAGATCTGAATTTATTTTTAAAAGACTCTTTTTTTTTAGAACAGTTTTAGATTCATGACAAAATTGAGAATATAAAGAGATTTCTTATATACTCCCTACCCCCACACATTCATAGCCTCCCCCACCTATCACTTCACCGTTCCCCCACCAGGGTGGTACCTTTGTTCAATTGAACCTATATTGACACATATCACCCAAAGCTCGTAGTTGACATAACGGTTCACTCTTGGTGGTGTACATTCCATGGGTTTGAACAAATGTACAATGACTTGTATCCATCATTATCGTATCCTACAGAGTATTTTCACTGCCTCTAAATTCCTCTGTGCCTGCTTATTCATCCCTCTCTCCCTCCTTTAACCCCTCGCAACCACTGATCTTTGTTTTAATTTCTGTTGTTGAGAGTATTACAGATGTCCTCTCTTTTCCCCCATTGTCCCCCCTCCACCCAGTTCCCACCACCCTAATACAGGTCTCGCCACCCTATTGTCTGTCCATGGGTTGTGCATGTATGCATACAAGTTCTTTGGTCAATCTCTTCCAGTCTCCCTCCCTCATTCCCTCTGAGTTCATCATTCTGTTCCATGTTTCCATGCCACTGCTTTTATTTTGTTCATCAGTTTAGTCTGTTCATTATATTCGATATATAAGTGAGATCATGTGATATATGTCTTTCTCCAATTGGCTTATGTCAATTGCATAATAATGTCCAGGTCTCCCATGCTGTCTCAAAGGGTAATAATATATCCCTTTACAGCTGCATAGTATACTGTTGTGTAAATGTATTGGGTCTAGTAATAATTAATGTCGTTTTCTAATACTTTTTTAAATCGAATTTATTTAAACAATACAACAAAATTTAATCTACAATATAGTTGCCGTTGTTTTCTACTACTTGTGCCCAACACTCAGGAAGCATTTTAATCCCTCTGTTGTAAAATTCTTGTGATTTTGATGCAAAAATTCGGTCAATGCATTTTTGAGGCATTCTTCATTATTAAATTTTTTTCCAAGAAGAAAGTTTTGCAAAGAACGAAACAAATGGTAATCGGAAGGGGCAATATCAGGAGAATATGCAGGTTGAGGGAGAACTTCCCATTCCAACTGGCGCAGTTTTTCAGCAGTGATTCTTGCAGTATGCAGTTGTGCATTATCGTGGTGAAGAATTACGCCCTTCCGATTAATCATCGCGGGTTCTTTTTCTCTTAAAGCTTGGGCTAACCTTTCCAATTGGGCACTATACACTGCACTTGTAATGGTTTGGTTAGATGGTAAAAGTTCATAATGAAGAATTCCTTTAAAATTCCACCAAACACACAACATCACTTTTTTCGCATGCAAGTCAGGTTTTGGCGTGGGCTGCAGAGCCTCATTTTTGTCCAACCATTGAGGCCGCCTTTTCAAATTAACATACAGCACCCATTTTTTATCTCCGGTAACACTTTGTTCTAAAAACGGCAAACGGTTTTGACGAGAGAGGAGCGAACTGCAAATTGTGACTCTTTGATTATGGTTGTTGTCAGTCAACTCATGAGGAACCCATTTTCCAAACTTTTGGACTTTGCCAAGCGCACGCAATTGATTGGAAATTGTTTTTTGTGAACAATTTAAAGTTGTCGCAAGCTCTTGTTGGGTAATTTGAGGATTTTGCACCAAAAGAGCTTGAAGAGCTTCTTGATCAAAATTGGACACACGGCCTCGACCACTCTTGTCATCTAACGAAAAATTTCCCTCGCGAAATTTCTCAAACCAACGCTGGCATTTTCTGGCGCTAACTGCATCTTGACCAAGAGCACTACAGATGTTTTTTGCAGCCTCACTTGCTTTTCTTCCTAATTGGAACTCGTAAAGCATGCAGTGCCGAATATGCTCTTCATCCGCCATCTTCTTAGCCCTAGTTTTGCAACAAAAACCAAACCAAACACAAACTTTTTCAAGCAAAACTTGTTAATTGCACTTCACACGTTCTGTAGATACCACGTGTTTGAAGGTTATGTCAATACAAGTCAACGCCAAGCAAGATTTTAAACAAATGTTTAAAAACGACATTAATTATTACTAGACCCAATACCACAGCCTTTTTATCCACTCATGAGCACATGGGTTGTTTCCATGTCTACTGTAAATAACGCAGCTATGAACATAGGGATCCATATATTCTTTCTGGTTGACATTTCAGGATTCTGAGGATGTATTGCTAGAAGTGAGAACACTGTGTCAAATGGCAGTTCCATTTTTAATTTTTTTTTTAGGAAACTCTACACTGTTTCCCATAGTGGTTGTACCAGTCTACATACCACTGATGTTTTCACTCTCTCCATAGTTTTGCCTTTTCCAGAGTGTCAGATAGTTGGAATCATATAGTAGTTAGCCTTTTTAGCTTGGCTTCTTTCACTTAATGATACACATATGGTATATCTGAATGTCTAGCTCACTCCCTGGTAATATCTGAGGCAGACAGGTGGTCCGTCAACTAAACGTTAGGAAACATTGGTGTGAGGCAACAAGAAATAACAGGGAGATCAATGAATATGTGTGGTTTCCGGTGATGCTGCTTACTTTGTCCCTCAGCAAATTACTTCTCTCTCTGGGTCCCAGTTTCTTTATTTGTAAAATGTGGCGTGTTTGGCCGTTCCAGCTCTGACATTCCAGGAATCTGTGAGGCTGTATTGACCAGAGCCCTGCCCCCACCCCTTTTCTCCAAGGAAGAGATGGGGCAGGGAGGTATTGGAGCCCCTGGCTAAGCCGAATGGGTCTCCGTTAGCTGTCTCTGGAAGTCTGGCTGAGAAAGATTGTGGCTCCGGGTTCAATATCTGCAGGTGTCAGGGGCACATGGGGCTCAGAAGATCTCAGCCCTCCTCCAGGCGAGGGGTGTCCAGGTCGCCTTCGTTGTGGATGAGGGTAGCTTCATCATGGATGGTTTCATTCCCAGCCTCAAGAAGCCCTTTGCCATGTGAGTAAAGCACCCCTCCTCCACCCCCCGCCCCCAGAACTTTGGAAGGCATTCCCACCCATCTGCGATGACCCAGCCTACTAACTGTAAATCATGCTGAAACAGCTATTATATATTGTACTCCTCTTGCTTTAATTTCCTGAGTTGTGACCAGTTCTGGACTCCCCTTCACCCTCCTCTTCTTAAAGTGTGAATTTCTTCAAGTAGCATGAAGCTGACTCCCTAGCCCACTGTGCAGATTGGTCTGTGGGCCTGTGGGATAATTTAAGGTGAGAAGAAGACAGGAGGGCCCTCTCTGATCCTTCCCTGCAGGGTTTCGGTCTCAGAGAAGGGTTCACTTGACCTCATGATGGAAGTAAACTCGACTCCAGGCCACTCCTCAGCTCCTCCGAAGGAGACTAGCATTGGCATCCTCGCAGCTGCTGTCAGCCGGTGAGCAACCCCTGGCCTTGCTCCCTCGGCCGGGCTCAGGATGGAACCCTTGGCACTTGCCCACTTTGGATTTGAGTGTCCTGTCCTGAAGTGGGGCTGAGAAGCCACGGTGAGGGCTGCAGGGAGAGCAGAGCCACCAGTACCCTGATGAGAGCTAGAGGTCAGAAGGAGACCCACCCATCTGGCAAGCAAAGGCCAGCAAACAAAAGCTAGGTCAAGTAGCTGGACAAGGTCCAGACCAGAAGTTAGAAATACAAGCCGGCAATGACGTCCACTGTCTAAATTCTCCACCTGCCTTGAGAAGAGGACAGAGATAAATAAAGGCTGCTGGGTGTGGGTAAGGACAGGAGGCTCTGTACCAGTGTTCCCCTCTATCTGGGTGTGTGTGTGTGTGTGTGTGTGTGTGTGTGTGTTTTTAGCAGAGTGGAAAGAAGAACTATATTTATTGAATTAAATATTCAACTGACTATCTACCATGTTCAGGCTTTGTGCCTAGTCGCGGGCATAACAGTCATGGAAAAAACAGACAGTTTTTCCTCAAGTAACTCACAGTTAGTGGAAGAGACTAACAATAGGGCTACTGTGTGGTAGGTGATATGGGGGTTGGGGGTGCCCTAATTCAGATGTGGTAGAAAAGATAGCTCCTGCTGGTGGAGAAGAGGTGGTCTTGCTTGTGTCCTGAGATCTTTGAATGGTTGATTGGTGGAGGTGAATAGGAGACCTCCTGGGCAGGCCCACTGAAACATCCTGTCTCCGTCTTCCTCTTCAGACTGTGGATCCTGCCTGGGGTTGGGTAAGAACTCCTCTTCTCTTCCAGGCTGGAGCAGACACCGATGCCGAACATGTTTGGAAGCGGGCTCTTGAAGATAACATTGCAGCAACTGGCTAAGGAGGTGTGGGGAGAAGTCTCACGTGCTCCTGGGCAGCCGTGGAAGAGGAGGAAAGGGTGGCAGAGAATCACCTTGAGAGGAATACAAGGGCCCTACGGCTGCCCATTCTCACCCATTCTCTGCCAGTGGCTGAGCCAAGACACAAGGATCTGGCTTGTTCCTTGAGGTTCTTGGTGCTTAGCTGAGACCCTAAGACCTCACACACCCAGGCACCCTTTGGGAGCCGGTTCCCACTCATCCTTGAGGTTACCGCTGAAGGCCCTCAGGCAGATCTAAAGCAGGAAGAGCCCCAGGCCTCAGGTACAGCAACCCTGTTACGCTAACCCCTCTGAAATCCTGCTGACCTGCTTCTTCTTTCTTTCAGTTTTCCTTCCCTGTCAATGTAATCTTCAACAACCTGTGGCTATTTTGGCCCATTGTGAGCAGGTAAAGTTTTATCTTTCCTTCCCTCACACACCCCTACCCCAAATCTACCCACCACCCATCCCCTCTCCTTGGCTCTATTGGGCCTGACTAATAATTGTTCCTCAGCCACCAAACACTATACGTAATTCATAGACAGGACATCCGTCCTAGTCTTAAAGACCTCTTCAAGGTTCAGGAAAGTGGGCAGTTCTCCAGCCCATTTTCCCCCCAATGGACAACATCTGATTTTAGTCCTTTTGCTTAGATTAATGGAGAGGGACAATATATCCAATGCACTGGTCAGGACGACTACGGCAGTCACCATGTTCAATGCAGGGATCAAGGTAACATCGCTTGGGTTCCTCCCATCTACCTTGTCCTCACTGCCTGTCACCCCTCCATGTGACCCCTGTCACCCCTCACTGCCTGGCTCCTCCCTCATCTGGTTACAGTTGGAATGATAGGAAGGCCCAATGTCATCAGTTAGGTAAGCCTCAAGAGCAAGGGTTCGAGCTGAGCTCCTTGTAGATGGTGAAGGCACCACCAAGGATTACCGAGGCTCACGGGGTTTTCTGTAGACCTGCTTTCATGTTCAGAGCACTTTGGAAGGTATCAATGTTTCAAAGTGCTCTGTACACACACACACACACACACAAAAAGAGTTCTAGCTAGAAATCGCTGAAATCGCTGGCCAAATTTTGGATATTAGAAGTTTACAGGGTGTCCATGTTCTTCGGGTTGTATTTAAAAAAAATAAAATAAAAAAATTACCCTAGTGTGAAGGGGGTTTATTTGGGAGTTCATCCTTGTGATCTATACTGATTCAACCTGTTATACTAGTATACTAACCCAGCATTTTGGTCATGTAGACTAAAGGTTTCTAACCTATCTATTAGCAAAGATCTTTTTTATTACTCTTCCTCATATTTTGAAAGAAATAATCAAGTTTAATGAGTGATTAATGTATTTTTCCTCTTAGTGTTACCCTGAGTTTAAAAGTTAAATCTGCCATTTATAAAACCTATAACATTTGTGATATATACAGCATTTAACCATACACACTGTCACTCTCAAAATACACTAAATATTGGGTGGCCGTGGCAAACAAATTGTCCGTGAGGTTTACTTTAATAGAAATCATTTTCAAGTGAATAGTACATTGGTACATTTTTATTCTAAGAGCTACTTTTCAGCAAATTGGTCTACTTCCAATTGGACTGGCTACTCAGGGCATCTCTGTTTAAAGCCCAGCCATACTCCTGTTAGCATAAACACCACCAACACAACTTCAACTAGCACTGATCGCCTAGGATACAGTGTAGCTTTGTGGAGCCCAGGTTAAGGAGAAAGTGAATGGGACCTCAGAAATAATCCCCGGCATATGTCAGCCAGACCAGAACTATCTTCACCAGCAGCCTAGGGTGTCCATGCAATAATAGTACTGTGTACTTTACTTTCTTTTTCTTTTTTTAAATATTTTTTATTGATTTTTTTTTTTTACAGAGAGGGATAGAGAGTTAGAAACATCGATCAGCTGCCTCCTGCACACCTCCTACTGAGGATGTGCCCACAACCAAGGTACATGCCCTTGACTGGAATCGAACCTAGGACCTTTCAGTCCACAGGCCGATGCTCTATCTACTGAGCCAAACCGGTTTCGGCTGTGGTTCTTTACTTTCAATGATGTTTTTATCTGCCCAGAATACTTTAACATTTGTTACTCCATTTGATCTTCCTAACAGCTCTGTGAGAACAATGCCCCAATTGCCAGTTAAGAAACAGAGGTATAGCCGAAACCGGTTTGGCTCAGTGGATGGAGCGTCAGCCTGTAGACTAAAGAGTCCCGGGTTCGATTCCGGTCAAGGGCATGTACCTTGGTTGCAGGCACATCCCCAGTGGGGGGTATGCAAGAAGCAGCTGATCGATGACTCTTTCTCATTGATGTTTCTAACTCTCTATCTCTCTCCCTTCCTCTCTAAAAAATTAATAAAATATATTTAAAAATAAAAAAGAAACAGAAGTATAGGGGAGGGCAAAAAGGGGAGAAAATGGAAGACATCTGTAATACTGTCAACAGGAAAGGAAGGAAGAGAAGTCGCACTTATTCAAGATCAGACGTCTCATTTGTAACAGCCCAGTTCTCCTGTCCCTGGCCTGGTGCTTTTTTGCACATACCAGTTAAAAGAAAGATATGCAATTGGGGAATCTGTTTCCTCATGGCCTCTGAAGGGGCTAAATGCCCTCCATCACTTAGCTGTCTTCTCCAGTTAGTCCTGGTTCTTCCTGGAGGCAGAGGACAGGGTCCAATTTCACAACTGATGTGGGAAACCGCCAGCAGCAGCACCACCACAATCCCCTCAGGATCAGACCTGCCGTGATGGGCCTGTGAGGCTCCCGGCGCCCTGTCCTGTGGCTGCACTAACACTAACTCTTGCGGAAAGGTCCCAGGCCCCCTGGGAAGGAGAGCAATCACAGAAGACTGCCAATGGCGCCCCCCCAGGGCCAAAACAGAGGTGCCAGCATCACAGAGAAGTACTCTTGTTCTGAGCAGTGCTCTGTGGTGCCCTCCAGCCCTAAAGCAGACACACCTCTAGCTCTGAGCACAGCCACATGCCCAGGGCCCAGGGAAGATAAGGGGCTGACTAAAAAGATTAAGCCCTGTACAGGGCTTAATTAAGCCCTGCACAGACAATAGTGCGGTGAAGGCCTGGGGAGAAAGGGGAGCAGGGAGGGAGGGGTCAGTGAGAGGGGCAGGGGCACCCGAAATGCTTTAACAATAAAGAGAAATTATTAAAAATATTAAGCCCCTGACCTTTAAATCAAATCAGCTCCCTCTCCCTCCTCCTGGTGGTAGTTGGTATTTCCTGGGCAGGAGTCGGGTGTAGGAATCTGAGATCGGCTCAGGCCAGGCTGTGTATTTCTCCTTCTAGGTGAATGTCATCCCCCCAGTGGCCCGGGCTACAGTCAACTTCAGGATTCACCCGGCACAGACAGTCCAGGAGGTACGTACCTGATCTTCCTGAGGACTGGTCTGCAATCCCAGGGCTGGCCCGGTCTCTCATTTGTCCAACCAATATTTTTCAAAGGCTCCCGGATAGGATAGGCTATGCCAGTGGTCTGCAAACTCATTAGTCAACAGAGCCACATATCAACAGTATAACGATTGAAATTTCTTTTGAGAGCCAAATTTTTTAAACTTAAACTTCTTCTAACGCCACTTCTTCAAAATAGACTCGCTCAGGCAGAAGTATTTTGTGGAAGAGCCACACACAAGGGGCCAAAGAGTCGCATGTGGCTCGCGAGCTGCAGTTTGCCGACCACGGGGCTAGGAGATTCTGTGGTTTGGAGAAACTTGGAGTCTGGGGGTGGGCAATGAATACTAACAAATGATATAGCAAACAGAGTGGGCTTGCTCTGTGTGTGGGCCTGTCCCAAGATAGACACACACTCATTTGATCCCCACAACCACCCTATGAGGTAGGAATTGTATTATCCTCATTTAATGGGGAAACTGGGATGGGCAAGGAACATGCCCAAGATGACCCATCCAGCAGCCTGGTTCCAGACTCTGTGCTCTGTGCTTTAAGCTACCGCACTATACTATGATTATAACAATCCGGGACAAACAAGTGAAAATAAGACCAGTTCAGAGAAGGAAACTGATGCTACCCTGTGAGGGTCAGGAATGTCTTTTCTAATCACTGGAAATCTGAGCTGGGACTTGAAGGACAAAAAGTACCCGGCTAGAAGTAAGGCATGTATTATAGAGTAAGGCTCCAGTCAAGTAGAGCTGAAGAGTAGGATAATGGGGGGAGGGAGGGGGAGAATGACAGGAGGCGGACATGGAGGTGCAGCTTGGAGATCAAGGCCTTGTATGTCATGCTGATGAGTGTGGGCTCTCACTGTGGGCAGAAGGGAACTGTCAGAGGGCTTCCAACAGGGCAGTGACCTGCTCAGATTTGCTTAGGGAGTGATGATGGCAGCAACGCAGAGGAAGTGAAGGTCTGAACCAAGGCCATGGTCATGCAATGGAGAAGAGGGTGCCTACAAGAGGTCTGAGAGAGAGGAAGGTGGTGAGAGAAAGGTGGGGTGGCTCTAAGGTTTTTTTCATCTGGGTAGTTGGCCCGGTGCTGATCCCTTTAACCAAAATAGGGAAATCAAGAAAAGGATGTTCACAGAGAAATACAATGATTCAGAAGGTTGAGAAGCTCATAATATATTAATAGATCATTACAAACACCTCAGGTCTGAAGAGAGAATGGACCAGAGATACAGACTGGAGGGCTTTTAGCATCCTTGAAACCTCTGGCATCCATAAAGTCTCACAGGAAGGATATGTACAGTTTAGGAGAGAAGAGGGTTGATGACAGAGCCTTGCAATGGTCTGCCGCAAACATCAACTTCAAAACGATTACAATGAGTGAGTAATGGCAGACTGCGATAAGTGCTGTGACAAAAGGGACCAGGTGCTCTTAGAGAATATCCTGAGGAACCAGACCTTGTATGGGCACCGGCAAGGCTTCCCGGAGGAAGTAACATTTGCGCTGGAAGCTGAAGGGGGAGTAGAATTTACATAATAGTTGACATCCACGAGAAAATCTAGCAACCTTTAGACATCAGGATGAGCGAAAAAGAATTCAAAAAGTAAACCTGACCCTTCAAAAAATGATCAAAAGGGGCAACTGAACCACTATCAGGTAAATAACACATTCCGAGTTCAGCAGAGTTAGGGGAAGGCAGTGTTTCCTGGGTGTCTGCTGCAGTTCATCAAGGCTCAGCCACACTTAGATGTGCGTGGTCCTTTCTCCCTGAGTCCCTCCCCGCGGAAAGTTTTGCCGTCGCACATGGTGGGAGGCATGCCCCTCTCTGCGGAAGGGGTGTGGGTGGAGACAGGTTAACAGCCTACCACTCCAGGGGAGTTGGGACTCATGTGAGCCCCGGGCGCTGTTTCTTTTCATCAGGTGCCAACCTTTGTCCCCTCCCTGGGGGATCGTGGGGCCAGGAAATCACCGAATTCCCCTCATTGAGCTTCTTTCCACCAGTTTTTTTCCAGCCTCATTCCCACTCCATGGCCTTTTCAAGGGCTGTTTCCACCAGCTGGGGCTTTCATCTCCGCAGGCTCTGCCGCCCTTCCCTCCTCTCTCGTCCCCTGCCACCGTGGCTTTCCTCCCCGGTCCATCTGATGAAAGCCCTGGAATCCCTAGGCCCATCCTGCCCACCTGCCCCGTGAGGAATGGAAAGCCTCCACCATCCCCAAAACGCACAGCACCCTTTGTCCCGGTCACTCCACTCCCTCGTGCCCCAGTTCCATGCATCAGGGACACTCCCTCCCTGCTGGTCTGAGGGCCACAGGTGCAGAGCCCTGGGCTGGTCCTGCGGAAGCACAAACAGCTCCCAGAGTCCTCTTCCTCCACCTTTACTGGTCTTTCCCACGTTGTGGGTGTAGATAGGTCTCCACCGTCTTCAGAAATACAATAGGCCCCCAGGTGGGAAGGAGGATTTGTTCTGAATGGGCCTCGAGGGATAGAAATAAAACGATTGGAAAATGCTTCAGGGAGCCCCCCTTGAAGGAGAGTTTGGGTATATGGGTCCTGGGATGGTAATGAGCTCCTGAGAGACAGGATATCCACTCATCTAGAGGGCAATACGGAAGATTCCTTCCTTCCCTCCTCCATCCCCCAAGTATTTTTGAATGGCTACTATGAGCTAGACACTGATAGGAGCACTTGGGGAAGTGGTGACAAGATTCCCATTCAAGTGGTGCATAGGCTGTAGTGGGAAAGACAGCATCCATCAAGGGATCAATGAACACAGTGGTTTTTTAAAGAGATAAGTATCACCAAGAAAATTATAGGGTGACTAGAGGCCCGGTGCATGAAATTCGTGCATGGGAGTGTGTCCCTCAGCCCAGCCTGCACCCTCTCCAATCTGGGATCCCTCCAGGGATGTCAAACATCCCTCTCACAATCCAGGACTGCTGGCTCCCAACTGCTCACCTGCTTGCCTTCCTGATTGCCCATAACTGCTTCCACCTGCCAGCCTGATCACTCCCTAACCACTCCCCTGCCAGCCTGATTGATGCCTAACTGCTCCTCTGCCAACCTGATTGTCCCTAACTGCCTCCCCTGTAGGCCTGGTCACCCTTAACTGCTCTCCCCACAGGCTAGATCACCCCCAACTGCCCTCCCTTGCAGACCTGGTCCCTCCCAACTGCCCTCCCCTGCTGGCCATCTTGTGTACACATGGGGGCAGCCATCTTTGACCACATGGGGCAGCCATCTTGTGTGTTGGAGAGACAGTCAATTTGCCCAGTGAGGAATGGAAAGCCTCCTTGTGTGTTGGAGAGACAGTCAATTACTCTTTTATTGGATAGGATGTGTCACAAAGTGATTTTGGGGGTGGGAGAGGAGCACTGAGCAGCTTTAAATACAGTGGTCAGCCCCTCAGAGAGGGCATTTATGTTGAGACTGAGAAGGAGCACAGACCTGGGGAACAGATTCAAGCAGCAAGAGCACTGCCTGTAATCGCCACAGAGGTGATATTGTGCTGGGTGTTCATGATGTGTCTAGTAGTATATTCTATCCTATGAAGAACATGCAATACCGAAAAAAGGGGGTGGGAGGGTTTGGCTTCCAGGAGGTCATATCTCAGTCATTACAAGAAAGACATTCATAGCTGAGTTGCTCCAAGGTAGAATGAAATAGAGCGCGTGATGGTGAGCTTTCTGCCACTGGAAGTGTTCAAGCACAGGCTGGATGGCAACCTGTCAAGAATGTTATAATGAGCAGCCTTACCCCAAGATGGAAGCTGGACCCACCAGTTTTTGAGTATTCATTGTCCTTGCTTTTGACTAATTTATCATCCACTTGAAAGTAAAATATATGTTCACAGAAAATAGAGAACAACATACTATTGTAGGAATGTGCTATGAGGGCCATAGGAATTTAGAGAAATGAGAGATTAATGTGCTCTAAAGTAATTTGGGGGTCCCTTAGACCATTGGGGGCGTCCCTCCTCCTAGTCCTATCCTTATGCCTCTGTTTATTGCCCAGGACGGTCCCTCTAGTCTAAACAAGCAACTAGCATCTAACAGTCACTGAGCCTTTACTATGTGTCAGGCACTGGCCTAAGCACATTACATACATTCAGTAATGGTCACAGCCACTTACCAGGTAGGTGCTGCTATTACCCACATGTTAACAGATGAGCAAGCTGAAGCACAAAGAGGTGAGGGGGCTTTCCCAAGGTAATACAGCAGTGAGTGACTGTCTGAGGCACAAAGTTTGGTGTCTTCTTCGGTTTTTGTACATACCCCTTTCCATGTTCAGACTGCTTCTTGCCTTTTCTCCATCAGTTTCATATCCCTCCTTCAAATTCTGGGTCAGGATTCATACCATTAGGGAATTCATTTTAAACTAGAGGTCTGGTGCACAAATTTGTGCACAGGTGGGGTTGGGCTGGCTAGGGGGAGGGAATGCAGGCGATTGGCCAGCCGGCCAGTCCTGCTCCGCCCCCTGGTGGAACTCCTCCTGGTCGAGGGGACAATTTGAATATTAGTCTTTTATTATATATGATGAGCCCGCCCTTCTTGCTAGCTCTGCTTCTCCCCACTGCAATCTGGATGTACTGTGGAAGCAATTAAATGTTGTCTTTTTTACTAGGTTTAGACACCCAACCCAGTGGTACTGACTGCCTAACTCTGAATAAGCCACTTAATGAGGCAGCTCCCAGGATTAATTTTATTGGTCCACATCTTTTAAATTTCAGGTGTTCAACACTCCTTGCATGCCTTTAATGTTCTTAGTACTGGAAGTAAAGAAATGAGGCAAACTCGAGACTTGCCTTGAGTCAGGAGTGAAGTGAGCCCCAGCCTAACAGCTAGTGAGAAGACTGAACCCTGGTGGCCTCTCATTGGGGGTCCAATCTGGGTGCCCTCTTCAATTTCTGGGATCAGGGATCTAAGTAATTTGGGTCAGGGGGGACAGCAAGCACAGTCCCAACCCACCTCCAAGGGAATGACTTCAGGAAACTCCCAGTGCGTCAAGAATATGCCAAGACTATATATCTTCGTATTATTGTATTTGGGATATAAGTGCTAGAGTGAAAATAAGCCCCTAGTCAATCCTTCCTCCCGCCCCCAATCCAAAAGTGGGGTTATTGGTTTGGTTCAAATGGTGGCTTTTAAGCCAGAAGTAGGAACCCTCATTTCCTTTCCAGACTCAGCTCCTAGCATCCTTCTAAGAAACACGGACCTAAAATGGGTACTCTTGAGAAAATGCCCCTATTTAGGTGGTCTCCAACTATGGGACACTCCCCCAATCTAGGACAGACAGTTCTAAAGCACCTGCTGATCCAGTGGGTTGAGACTAGTGCTGGAGCTTTTCCTGCGTGGCTGGGTGGGTTTGGGGGCCACCCTAAGGCAGCCTCCTGGTCCAGTCCCACAGGGCTCCATGTGACCTAATTCTCAGGGTCTGGTCTATATCCTGCCAGAACCTTTCCTGGATTCATCTCCAGTCATTTCAGACTGAATTTTTCTAGGAGCTTCCTCAGGTTCCTTCCTGAGGAAAGGAGGCAAAGAGAAAACGTGAACACCGGTCCCGCAACTCCTGACGTTTTGTCTGTGTTGAACTCATCTTCCTGGTCCCAGTGCCATTGATTACAAACAGGAAGCAGGGATGACCAGAGAAGGGAAAGCAAAGTGTGACCTGTTGTTCATCACCTGTCTGAGATCCCCAGCTGGTGGAAGGTTGAAGTGAGGTCAGCACATCTATTCCCCTCGAGATGGTTGAGCTTCGCATTCTGCTGACTCCTACCACCTTACTCAGCCCATGACTCACCACCCAAGGAAAAGAACCATCATTTCCTGATTTTCCAATTCCCTTCCTGCCTCCTGGCTCTGAGGCAAGTCTCCCAAACATGTAGCGTAAATTGACTGTGCTGTAGATCCAGGAAGACCCTGCTCTTCTATCTCCTGTAGCCAACTGGCTGAAGTTAGGTCCCAGTGCTAACATGAGTCTCCTCTGTAACTCCAGAGCTCTGCCTTGCTCAAGAAAAACCAGGACTTTTAAATTCCTATAGTACTTGGATAGCAGTTTAGTAAGAAAACATACTCCCTTTGTGTCCTCCCTGAAGGTCATTAAACTAGCCAAGGATATTGTGGTTGATGATCGGGTCCAGTACCATGTGTTAGAAGCCGTTGAGCCCCTGCCTGTCAGCCCCTTTGATGACCGGGCCTTGGGCTACCAGCTGATCCGCCAGACCATAGAGTCCGTCTTCCCGGAAATCAGCATTGTTGTTCCAGGTAATGACTTCATCAGCTGTGGCTGGAGGGAGGTGGGGGCTAGAACTGTTTTCTATCCAATCCCCTACCCCCACCCCAGCTGTTGAGCCTAAAAAACAGCTGGCTGCTTCCCCTCCTGATGGGTCTCCACCCCCCTTCCCTGGAGTGGAAGTGAGAAAGCAAACAGGAAAGGAGCAGAAACAATAAATTAGGTCATGTCAAGCCTGGGTTCTTAGGTAACCTAGACCAGAGTGAATGGAGGAGAGGATCAGCCCAGAGTCCTCCTCCCCTGGAAGAGACGTGGAGGCAGCTGAGTTTCCCCTAGTCTGGTTCTGATCCATTTTAGGATACAAGTCAGCAGCAAAGCTCAGAATCAGAAGCCCAGCAACACCACCCAGCCTACACCATTGGCAATTACACCCTTCTCTCGCAGCTACAGTACCTCTATGTACCTTCACTGTGTAGACAGTGGCTCTTAAATTTAAGAGTGGAAGAGGGCCAAAACCGGTTTGGCTCAGTGGATAGAGCATCGGTCTGCGGACTGAAAGGTCCCAGGTTCAATTCCAGTCAAGGGCATGTACACTGTTTGCGGGGGGGGGGGGGGGGGGGGGTGTGCATGAGGCAGCTGATTAATGTTTCTCTCTCATCGATGTTTCTAGCTCTCTATCCTTCTCCCTTCCTTTCTGTAAAAAAAAAAAAAAAAAAAAATCAATAAAATATATATATTTTTTTAAAGAGTGAAAGAGGATCCCCTTAGAGAACTTACTAAAATGCAGATTACCTGGACCTATACCCAAAGATTTGGGTTAACCAGCTCTGGAGAGGAACCTGGAATCTGCATTTTAAGCAGATATCCTGGGGGATTCTAACACCAGCTAATGGCTGACCACAGTTGGAGAATCTCTGGTCTGTGTTGTGAAGAGAAAATGCTCTGATGTCCGGTTTCTTTATCTAGGTTTAATCATGGATCCCCTCAAACATTGTCTAAGCTCATACTTAGGACCTACCCTTCTGCTAGGCATGAGCCCTTAAAGAGCTTGCTGTGAAATTCTACATCCACAAACTCGGGCATGAGAAGAACAGCAACCTTGTTTCTTTTTAATCAACTTAAATCTGACTGTAAGCCCCCCCCTCCTCAGAAGACAGAGGATGAGAATAACAGGAAGTGATGTTCCACTTTAAGAAGATCGCATTTTATACAGTAAGGTTCCCCCAGGGTGTTTCTTTTTGATCCAGGACAGTGGTTGGCAAACTCATTAGTCAACAGAGCCAAATATCAACAGTACAATGATTGACATTTCTTTTGAGAGCCAAATCTTTTAAACTTAAAACTTCTTCTAACGCCACTTCTTCAAAATAGATTTGCCCACGCTGTGGTATTTTGTGGAAGAGCCACACTCAAGGGGCCAAAGAGCCGCATGTGGCTCGCGAGCTGCAGTTTGCCGACCACTGATCGAGGATGATACAGATGAAAGTGGAGGCAATAAAGAAGTGATATTTCTGGATACCTGCAGGCGTGGGCAAAAGTAGGTTTACAGTGCTGAGTACACGAAACACAGAGTTTATTCTTTTATTAGTATGTATTCTTATGTTATATATTTTTCTAAAAACTTACTTTTTCTCACCCCTGTCGATGTCCAAGCATACCTAGCTATGGGTATGAAATAAAGGTACTGGCCTCCATGGTCATCGTGGAGAGAGGACACAGCTTTGGGTCATTGAAGGGATAGCTCACTAATGCCCGAGGAAGGATCTTCCATGTTTCTGGCTGAAATGGTGTTTCAGTGAGATTTTGACCACGGGTAGGCTAAGTGGCAAATATTCACAGCCGCGGGCTCCCAGGAGGGCCCAGGTTTTGCTCTGCAGTGACCTAGGGGTCCTCATTTTTCAGCCAGCCCACCACCAGCCTCTTCCTTGGCTTGGTTACTCAGATAAAGCCCGCTTCCTCTTGATCTTCCCTTTCTAGGTACTTGTATTGCTCAAACTGACAGCCGACATTATACAAACCTCACCACTGGCATCTATCGGTTCAACCCCATCTACCTGACGCCTCAGGACTTCAGTGGGTGAGTGAGTAGAACAAGTTTGATACAACTGACCTGTCCCTTCCCCACTGCTTTCTCCTGGAAGTCCACGGGATGGGAGAGGGCCGGGGTTTGCACAGACTGAAATGGAGACATTGTAGAACCCAACGGGCCAGCTTTCCTCACCGCCAGTCTTGCCCCTCCCCAGAATGTGTGGGAATTGGTCCCTCCCTAACCTCTTGTGCCCCTAGTAATGTGGGGATGGGATGGCGGTGGGGATGGGAGTAGTGCTGGCTTTGAGAAAAATCTAGGTAGGGGCCCTGGCCTGAGAGAAAGAGAATGAGAAAGATCATTTCTCCTCAGAGGAGAAATTATCAAGTGAGTCCAGAGCCGGAGATGATTTGAACTACCCAGGGGTTTATTAGTTACCCCCACTGTGGTTTTCCATGGGCTCCTAGGAAACCTCACTTCCTACAAATGGCCTCTCCCACCTTGCCCACTTCCTACCCCAGAGGGTCAAAGGCCACTGGTTTCAGGGAGTATGGGGTGAGGAATACTCCCCACTAATGCTTGTGCTTCAGCTATGGGCTTTCTCTTCCCCAACAGCATACATGGAATCAACGAGAGAATCTCAGTCCAAGCCTACGAGATGCAGGTGAAATTCCTCTTTGAGTTTATCCAGAATGCTGACATAGAACAGAGGCCAGTTTCTCACCTGCATGAATTGTGAGGTCCCGGAGCAGCTGGATTGGGGGTGCCTGGCCCTAGGCCAGAACTAACCCAAGGGAGAAAGTCAATGTTGATGAAACTTTGTGTCAAAACCACATTGTAGCCCTGGCCGGGTAGCCCGTTGGTTAGAGCATCACCCTGATTTTCAAGACAACGGGTTCAATCCCTGGTCAGGGCACGTAGAGGAAACAACCAAGGAACGCATAAATAAGTCGAGCAACAATTCAGTGTTTCTCTCTCTTCCCCATCCCCCGCCACTTCCTCCCTTTCTCTGAAATTAATAAAAAACAAAATAAGCAAGCACAAGCATGCACGAGCACATGTGCGCGCACACACACACACACACACACTCACACTCACACTCACACACTGTAATACATCCCCACCTGCCTTGCTCCCAAGAATAAGGTCAGGGGACAGTCAGCAGGGGTCTAGCTTCTCCCTTCCTCTTGCTGTCTCCATTCTTCAACTGACCAGCACTTCCTGCCTTTTCGTCCCTGTCTTAGAAGATGTCTGTCATATGCTGGTTACTTAACAGCTCCGCACTCCAGGCCTGACTTACCAAATGCAGATTTGAAAAAGCTTAACCAGGTTTTACCTTCTGAGAGTGTTTCATTTAGGGCACTCTTGCCAGGCTGCCTTCTCTGTGGCTTATCTATTTGTTTTTGCTGTAACTCCCTCCATCCTCCCCCCCACACACACACACTTGGGTTATTTTGCTGGCTCTATGTCCTCTCCGGCCCTGCATCTCTTCCCTTTACCCTCCAACCTATTTTGTATCCGGAGCAGAACTTAGTCAAATTGTGATACCACCGTCATCACCACAACCACTGGTCAAATCAAATGTTCTGTGCAACATCAACGGAGGCAGGGTGCTTCGGAGGAACCCCGAACCTCCTGGTTCTGGAGCCTGGGGAAGAAAGCCTCTGCTCTTGGGTTTCTGCCAAGGGCCGCCTAGCCTTTGCTCCCTCCCCTGCCCTTTCCTGCCACCTGCTGCTGCTGCTCTACCTCAGGAAGCACGAGAGTGTGGAAACATTTCCCTGGCACATCCTATGGGCTGAGCTGCTCAGGAAGGGCACTCCTGGTCCAGCCTCTCAGAGAGGCCCCTGGCATCATGTCCTGGCTCAGACTTCTCAGGGGAAGTGGAGGGCAGAGGATTGGAGGCTGGCTTGTGGGGGCATGAGACGGTGCAAGCTGCCTCCCATTAGGGGATGGCAGAGCTGTCTTCTGGAATCCAACACTGAGCACATTTGAATCTGCTCTGTAGCTGCCGGTGGGGGCCTTGGGGGTCGCATTTCTTGCCTCAAAGCTGGAAGCTGTGCTGTGCAGATCACACAGGGACTGGGGTCACAGAGCGAGACACAAAGGGAACTGGGACTTGAGAGGACCACATCCCCCCTTTCCTTACCAGACAAGGACATTCCAGGGGTTTGACAGCAGTGGGCTCCTTTTTCCTTCTCCAGCCCCCAATTCCTCACCTCCCTCCTGTGGATGGAGCTTAAGCTTAATGGAAAGTGTTAAAAACAGCGCTGGGATTATTGGATCTTCTTGCTACTCGCCCTGATATTCACATTCCTTCCCTCACCCTCCCCTTTTCTGGCCAGTTCAGTTCTTATTCAGCCTTTGTTAGTGGCTGAGCTGAAGAACAAAAATAATCCTTCGCATTTGTCCGGAGCTGTGCAGAGAGCTTTCATACACCTTATCTCATCCGAGCCCCACAAAGTCCCCGGAAGAAGTATCATTGCCCCTTCCTAGCGAGAAGGAATTGGTTCTCAGAGAGGTCACCTATCTGGCTGGGGCTCCACATCTAACCCATGTCACCTGTCCCCAAACTCGCTGTTACTCTGTGACCCTAAGTTACTGATGGAACCTGCTTCCCCTCCACGATCTTGTTTAATCCTGACAACAACTCTAAGGTAGTATTGCTCCTCTTTCACAAAGGAGGCACCAGATGTTAAGTACTTGTCCAAGGTCATGCAGGTATTAGGGGCGGAGTCTGTCTGAATCCAAAGGCTGTGCTAACAGCACTGAAAAGGAAACTGAGACTGAGAAGTCATTTGCCCAAGATCACACCGTTCTTAAGAGGCAGCCCCAGAATTCAAATTCAAAAAAGTCCTTGTTTTATTTTTTTTTCCAATTGCACCACGCTGTCTGCCCCAAGAACCTGTGGTGTGTGGCTCATTTATTCGGGTCCAGGGCGTTCTCAAGGACAAAAGCTGTTCTGCTGTTGGATTTCATTCTTAGCTCAAGCTGTCTGTGTTCCCCTGGCTGACCTCCCTCCCTCTCTCTCTGTCTGCCACCGTTTCCTGCCACCTTCTCCCCAGCTTCTGGGTTCAGCTCCTCTCCCTTCTCTGAGTTGGAGACAGCCAGGTCTCTAATAATCCATGGGCTAACTTGGAAAAGAATGAGCAGGGGACCCTGTCCCCATCTGGTCTCACCACTCTCTTCCAGCATCAGAAAGGATAATAGTCTGAGCTCCAGGGTTGGAGAGGAAGGCCCTGGAGGGAAGACGGCTCCAATCCTGGGAGCACACAGGCATGGCTGCCCTGTGGCCCCTGAAGGCTTTTCTGAAGATAGTGGCTGAAGTGCTGGTTGGGCCAGGACAACATGTGTCCTAAGACTCAGAGTATCACAGGCAAGGAACCTGGGTCTTACGTCTGCCCCTGCCCCATTCATCTACTACTCGCCAAATCCACCTTGGGTAGCTCTAGCAGATAATCACAGATACATCAAAGACTTAATAATCACAGGTACGTCACGCTTCTTATGCATACTTTCTAAGGTTGGAAGGAAGACAATGTATTCATAAGCAAAGACAATGAGAAAGGAAAGGAGTAAAGTTTGGTTGGAGTCCTTTAATTTTGAACCTGGGTTGCTAAAAACTTGGCCATTCTAGACATGGTATTATTTTCTTCCAGAACAGATAGTAGAAAGAGACAGAGTCCCTACTGAAGAGCTGAACCCTTCATCAATTTTTTTGAAAACTGAAATCTAATAAATATTTCATAAAACTACTTACAATTTTACTGTTCAATGTCCATGTAGTTGTGAGTAAAGAGGATAAGCATCATGTTTCATGTATGTTATAGCTAGACCCACAAATATAAAAACATAAGAATAATATAAATTATTTAACACTACAAATGTCCCCCAGCTACCATGTACAATGTGCAAATACTGAACTAATTGGTGAGTAAATCCAGAAATGGGAACGCAAAGTAGAGTATGAAATGGGATGCCCAGGACTCCTGGGAAATACGCGTCATGCAGGAATCGATTGCAGTCATGGTCATGGTATCTGGGAGGAAGGATTTGACAAGTCAGTTTTCTCTTAGCTAAGCACTTTGACAACTCAGTTCCTCCCTCCATTCCAAGACCAGGTCTGTCTGCAAGGTCACACTGACACAGCCCACTAAACTTCAAAGTGTTCAGATGTTTTGTTTTTCTGAAAACATAGGGCAAGATATATGGAGAAATGAAATGCTTTGCTAGGTTAGTCTCAGGACTAACTGTGCTTAGGGTGACCAGTTGTTCTGAGTCAGCACTGAGTGCTGAATCCCCAGTAACAGGAACACCCCTGAGTTTTTAATATATAGGTTTATTCTTTTGTAATGTGTGGTACTTTCTAAAGCATGAAGCCCACTGCAGGGGATTCTCCCGCCCAGTTCTAAGAGAGATCTTATTTTATATACTCCATGGTGCCTGGTCCAGGAAGTCAGGAAGGCTACAGAGACGTACACCTGAAACTAATATAATATTGAATGTCAACTGTAATTGAAAAATAAATTTTAAAATAAAATTTAAAAATAATCAACACCAGCCAAGTACAAGGCAGATAAAAATTACTATAAAAGCCGAAACCGGTTTGGCTCAGTGGTAGAGCGTCGGTCTGCGGACTGAAAGGTCCCGGGTTCGATTCTGGTCAAGGGCATGTACGTTGGTTGCGGGCACATCCCCAGTGGGGGGTGTGCAAGAGGCAGCTGATGGATGATTCTCTCTCATCGATGTTTCTAACTCTCTGTTCCTCTTTCTTCCTCTCTGTAAAAAATCAATAAAATATATTTTTTTAAAAATTACAATAAAAAAGACAGTGGAAAAAACACAAAATCAGAGTTTACATAGAATTGAGTAAAATTCCAATCCCAGCAGATATTTCATTTACCAAATGGGGATTATAATAACTTGAGTAGATGATAAAAATGGTTAGTGTTTTATGTAATGCCTGATATAAAGAAGGTTTTTAATAAATGGCTTCTTATTATAACTATGATTATTAAAATATAGAAGTTGAATATTTTCTCTGTATCTAACTTTTCCTTTAAAAGAACTTTAGTTTTTTCCTCTTACAAAGTTATGCCAAAATTAGCTACCATAGTTTTTACATAGTCTTAAGTCCTATGTAGAAATACTTAAGAATTGCTACTTTAATAGATTTCCCAAATACTATTTTTGTTATGCAGATTGCTTAGGATTCATTGTCTCTGTTTTACCACATCCTATCACTTTTAAAAAATATTTGTTTTAATGATTTCAGAGAGGAAGGGATGGGGAGAGATAGAAACATCAATGATGAGAGAATTATTGATTGGCTGCCTCCTGCACACCCCACACTGGGGATCGAGCCCTCAACCCAGGCATGTGCCCTGACTGGAAATCAAATCGCAACCTCCTGGTTCATAGATCAACACTCAACCACTGAGCCACGGGCCAGGCTCCTATCACTGCTTTATTATAAGTTCTCTGACAACTTCCCTGTAGGGTGTTTTGACATAATACTGTCTATTGTTCTCTTGGCACCAATATATTGTAAATGCATTTTAAAATAAATAATTTTTCTAAAAATTGAATAAGGCAAAGAGTTGGGGGAGGGAGGCTGCCAGATGAAGGGATTGAAATGTGCAGAGACAATGAGGCCAACGAGAGTGTGATACCTTCAGGAAACTAGAAGGAGACCTATTTGGGCCCTGGTCTTAAGGACAATGGGAAAAATGATAGTTAAGAGGTTGTCTTTTTCTTCTTTCTTCCATCTTTCTGTCTCATCCTTCCTTCTTTCTAACACTCAAGACAGTAATTACTATATGCCAGGCACTGTTCTAAATAATATATATAACTCATATAATAAGCTCACTTAATGCTAATAATTACCCTACAAAGTAGGCTGTTGCAATGTACAGTGACTATGGGGGAAAAAAGTTATGAATAGGAGAAGCTCAAAGGATTTTTAGGGCAGTGAAAATACTCTGTATGATCTTATAATGATAAATATGTATATCATTATACATGTGTCCAAACCCATAGAATGCACAATGTCCAAGAGTGAACTCTTAAGGTAAATTATGGACATTGGGTGATTACAAGATGTCAATGTTGGTTCACCCTTGATGAAAAATGTATCACTCTGCTGAGTAATATTGACAATGGGGAGGCTATGCATATATAGGGCAGGATAAATGTGGGAAATCTCTCTATTGTCCTTCCTATATTATCCTCTCAATTTAAAAAAAAATGTTTTTATTGATTTTTTAGAGAGAGAGGAAGGGAGAGGGAGAGATTGAAACATTGATGACTGAGAAACATCACCATTGATCAGCTGTCTCCTGTACACCCCTGGCTGGAGATTGAGCCTTCAATTCGGGCATGTGCCCTGACCAGAATTGAACTCGTGACATCCTGGATTCTAGGTTTATGCAAAACCATAGAACCACACCAGCTGGGCCATCCTCTCGATTTTATTGTAAACCTGAAACTACACTAAAAAAAAGTCTTATGAGTTAGTATGTGTCAACAAATATCACAGAAATATAAGGCATTTTAAAAATTAATATACATTTTAAAATATGAAGTCTCTGTATTCAAGGATCTTTTATCTAATTAGGAAAGCAAAACCAACATAAAACAATAAGCGACCGAAACTGGTTTGACTCAATAGAGCGTCGGCCTACAGACTGAAAGCTCCCAGGTTCGATTCCGGTCAAGAGTGTATGCATTGGTTGTGAGCACATCCCCAGTGAGGGGTGTGCAGGAGGCAGCTGGTCAATGTTTCTCTCTCATTGATGTTTCTAACTGTCAATCTGTCTCCCTTTCTCTCTGTAAAAAAAAAAAAAAAATAAATATATATATATATATATATAATATATATATTATATATATGATATATATATATATATATATATTAAGGGGAAAAAAAATAAGCACAGGCACAATACGTCTCAAGATGTGTAACATATTATATCAAAAATTACCAGTTCTCTACATGCATCCAGCCCCATGTTGAATCAGCTGCTGTTCCCTGAAAATGCCACATTCTCCCTTCTGTGCCTGCCATTTCGCTGTTTTATGGCCAACCTAATAAGTGAGAAGTGGTACCCCATTGTGATTATGATAACTAACCTAAATGACTTAACTTTGATCTGTTATATTACAACAGCCTACTTCATAGGGTACAAATTGGGATGAAATGAGTTAATATATACATCCACACAGAAAGACTCAGATGGAAGCATTCCTTTGTCATTGAAGAGTTCCAGTGCTTCCTCCTATGACAAAGGGATACATTGCCTGAAGCACCCCTGGAGGTTCCAATATGCACGCAGCCATGGTTGAGAACCACCTGGTTGGGATTCCAGAGTCATGTGGGGCACTAATTAAAACAGTGGGTTTTCTGGCCCGGCTCCAGATCTATGGAAAAAGAATTTCCAGGAGAGAGGCCTGAAAATCTATATTCTGAAACAAGTACCCACAGGTGATTCCTATGACCAAGCCAGCTTAGGAAACCCTGAGCTATAGGGCATAATCAAAGGTCAGTAAACACAGGACAGTCTGAAACTCGATAATCTGGTTGCAAAACACAATTTTCTTGCAGCCTGGCTCAGGAAAGATAAGCTTACTCATTTCTGGCTGATAACCCACTGCAGGGAAGCTGCTCCTGAGACCAGCTGCCCACCTGAATCCAGGAACCCATGGTGAGGTGTGGAGACGGCCCATCGGTACCCCTTTGCCGTTAGAAGTGCCCTGACACTCTGTGAAATCTAGACTTCGGTATGAGGCCCAGAGAGCCTGAGCTGCCCCTTCCACTAGTTGGTATTTGTGGCTCTTCCTTTTTGGTGAAATCATAATATTCCTACTAAGTGCAGGAAATGTTACAAATGTTATTTCACCACTAATCCTCATAGCGCCTGTTGCTCAAAGACATCAGGAGCTTATCCAAGGTCACACACCTTATACTGGTGATGAATAAATTCTGGTATATTCACTTAATGACATAATAATATACAGCAATGGCTAACAAGCCTTAAAGTGATTGCAAAGCTGAGGTATCTTCCATTCTAACTTACAAAAAGTACTTCTCTACTTCCAGTTACAGTTTACCAGACTATTTTGCTTGCTGCTAAGCCTTCCTAGCCATACACAGTAATTTCGGAATTGGAGCTCCACAATACCTTGGACCATGCTGCCTCGGGTGGGGGGGGGGGGGGGGACGGACACACACACGACACGACACATCCGGCGTACGGGAGGTATAAGGCCTGAGAAATCATTTGGTCTGGCCGTACCCAGGCCTTAGGGGTGAGTTAATTAAATGTTTGACCATTTAAAGCAGGTTAGTTTTTAAATTGATAACTTTGTATGGCCCAAGAATGATGTTATAAATATCCAAATGGTCCTTGGCAGAAAAAAGGTTCCCAACTCATGGCCTAGAGCAGTGGTCAGCAAACTGCAGCTCGAGAGCCACATGCAGCTCTTTGGCCCCTTGAGTCTGGCTCTTCCACAAAATACCACGGCCTAGGTGAGTCTATTTAAGTGAAGTTAGAAGAAGTTTAAGTTTAAAAAATTTGGCTCTCAAAAGAAATTTCAATCGTTGTACTATTGATATTTGGCTGTTGACTAATGAATTTGCCGACCACTGGCCTGCATTGTTTCCCAAAGT